CTGCAGGATTTCTTAAACATGCATGAATGAGTCAAAGCAAGGCTTTGGGCATGTTTTTTTATGAGTATAACATTAAAACATGATATAAAACTCAAAAAAGTTGATTTTACATATTGCCCCTGGCAAAAAGACTAATAACTGTTCTTACTATGAATACAGCTCTACATTTTTATTTCCTGACGGTGTTAAAAAAATCATGTATTGTCTTGCTGTTGTATGACACATTGCATTGAAATAGAAAAATATTATTGGTAATCATACTTGTAAATGGACAAACTACGGTAAATTATAAAACAGACCAGAAGTTGAACTGAACCTTTAAAGATTTTATATTGAGTCCTCAATAATAAAAAGAAGCACACTGTATTTGGAGCTATGTATTTAATGAATAAAAGTAATGTAAAAGGACAACTTTCAAACATTTACAATAAAACTGGTAGTGAACACACTAATATTCAAGCTTTTTAAAACTGTATAACACAAAATAATCATTATTTTCCCTTTAGGCCATACTGATGACATTTTAGACTTTAACTCCTTTCTCTTATTTGCTCAGATATTGCATGACAGATTTTTTTTGACAAAACACCCAACATGTCAAGTAGCTTTCAAAACTAATCAAGTGTGTCAAAAATGTGAACCTTACCCCAGTAAACACTTCATTGAATTACAAAAACCTGTTTACTGACACCTATTTAGTAAAACACCTACAGCAGAACAGAGTGGTCATCAAACACAACTAAATGACTCGAGATAAAAACTCTAAGAACTGCCAATTAACACATCAGAACTGGAGACAGACTTCAGCCTTGAGCAGGTGATTCTGGGCCACAGACACCCTGTCCTCTGTCTGCTCAGGTCTCCTCAGTTTCTGTCCCGTTGTCCTCTTCAAACAGCGAGAAAGGACGCAGGTCCAGGGTCAGAATGCGGCTGAACATACATTCGTCCAACTGTGCAGAAGACAACATCATTGTGACTGCACTGAGCTGCAATTCAGAAATTACTTCAAACCTACGACACAAGTTCCTCACGTCGGAATAGACTCCCAGCAGAGCGTCAGCTTGGGAGAAAAACTCCTCCTTCAGGGAGATGACGATGATCTGCATGTTCTGCTTGGACTCCTCTCTGATGAAACTGGTCACCTGGAAAAAGCCAAGCACGCGCTCAAAGAATTCACAAAAATAACATCAGATTTTCTCAGACACGTGGATGAAACACACAGATGTACAGTATCTGTTCACCAGAGGCTAAACGTTTGATGAGCTCACCACAGTGACACAATGTGACAAAAACTGCTGTAAGTTTAACACAATTTCTTTTTTTTTAATCCAAGTAGAACTGTAGTGTTTCACCATAGTTTAACAACATGATCAGAACAGAAATAAAGACGTAGTATTTGTAAAATACAATGAAATATAAGCCAGGAAGCCCACAAAACCCCTTTGTTGTCACTCTCCTCCCACAGGACCTCAATGCAGAGTGTAATAAAAAGTTACCAGCAACAGAGTTTTGTTCAGAGCAAAATGTAAACAACATCAAGAATAATGTGGATAGATGGTTTACAAGAGAAATAAAACCACCAGGATTTTAAAACACAAGGAGACGTTGAAGAACCAGCTAGAGTGTGTGACCAGCTGAATAATATTCTCATCCAAGATGGAAGAATGAAACAGGCTGATGACTGAGTTCCCCAACCTGAGGCTGTGAGAGATGCCAAAGCCCACCTGCTTGTGATGTCACTGACAGTCCCTGGGACTTGACGGGATGGGTGTAAATTTCACACGTTATAGTGTCTTGTTGCCATTACAGGGTTTCTGCAGGTTTTAGCAAGTCAAATGTAAGACTTTTTAAGACCGTTTCAATAACACCTTGTATGGAATTTAAGACTGAAAATAATCAGCAATTATTGGGAAATCATGCTGTATTATAACCAAGAATCGCACATGTGTGACTCAATGAAACACATTGAATATAGATATTCACTGCACTGGTTCTCTTTATTGGTTGAAAGCAGCGTCAGTCAAATTCAGCCAGACAGAAGCCCCTAACAACACGTTTTTTTCCCTCCTCCTCTTCACCTTTAAGAAATCCGCAGCGGAGACGAAGAACTTAAATCCGTCCTGCCTGACAAAACTTAACACTCTTGACTAACTTACATATTATTCATAAATTCAATACTTTTAAAGACCCTTAATTTTAGAAACATAAATATAATACTTTTCAAGACTTTTCAATGACCGGCGGACACCCTGTAATAGTTTGTTAGAAAACATGTAACAGTATCAGTGTCTGTCCATTTGAAATATTCAAGATTAGTATTTTGTCTGTTTCATTCCTGGTTTAAAGATTTAACTCTCAACAATTACATCATTGCAAAATACTTTGCTCTCAGTATCTGTCAGAGTGGATTTTTCAGAGGTCAAACTAGTATAAATGCAAAGGAAAGTTGCACGTCTAATTAATGATATCTATATCTGTGTGTATATATA